GCGCAAAATTTTACCATTATACATGGTCCCTGAATAGAATCAATTTAATTAGTTAAGAGTTTGATGGAAAGAACCTGGATAGAAGTATATCTATTATCACAAATTCACAACCATAATCAGTTCAGTATCTGAATCCAGCACCATATAATAATCAAATTCTAAAATGTAATCAATGTTTTCAGACAAAGCCCCATATCTTTGTATTAATCATGTCTCTACTAATTCTGTTGTGCACCACTGCATAGATGGCCATCTATGTCAGGGACAAAACCACTATCCACCATTTCCCCTCTAACAATCTCATAAGTTATGCGATTTGGGATTAAGCCCTTCTCTAACATCTCATTAAGAAGGTCATTTGCTTCTTCCAACTTACCTTTTTGACAGAGGCCTCTGATCAACACATTATATGTCACAACATTGGCCCGCTTTCCTTCCTTCTCCATTCTTGACCTCATATTCAATGCTGCCCTCAGGTTTCCCTCACTACAAAACCCATCCATCAATGTATTGTATGTAACATGGCTAGGGCTCAAACCCATTTCAACCATCTCATTCAAGAGCTTAACTGCTTTCTTTGATTCCCCATCCTTGCATAATGCACTAATAAGAATATTATAAGTTACAAGATCAACTCTAACACCCTTGTCCCTCATCTCATCTAGAAGCTTCCCAGCCCCTTCCATGTTTCCATCTTTACAGAAACCAGATATCAAACAGTTGTAGGTCGAAACTTCAGCTTGGATCCCTCGCTCTAACATCATTCGACGCAAGGCAATGGCTTCCTCCATTTTCCCAGCCTTACAGTACGCATCAATCAAAGTGTTAAACGTTATAATACTTGGAAACAGGCCTTTCTCTTCAATATCATCCAACAATGCTTTAGCCTCCTTCATCATCCTTTTCTTACAAAAACCATTGATTAGCACATTATAAGTAACTATATTTGGCTTCACACTCAAACCCAACATTTCATCCCACAAGTGAAGAGCTTGGTTAAGTTCACCCTTGTTGCAAAGGCTATTGATGAGAGAATTGTAGGTGATAATATTTGGTTTCAGATCCTGTCTCTGCATTTCCTCAAACAATTTCATTGCAGCAGGTAGATTCTCATCCTTACAGTACCCATCAATGAGAATGTTGAAAGTAACCAAATTGGGTTGGATTTTATTCAATAGCATTTCTTTCAAAAGGGCATCCGCTTTGTACATCTTGCTTACTCTACCCATCTTGCAGTATCCATCAATGAGGGTATTGTAGGTAATCACCGAAGGTGAACAGCCCCAGGACTTCATGTCCTCCAGCAGATCCCCTGCCTTCTGCAACTTCCCAACCTTACAAAGACCATTAATAACTGTATTGAATGTAATGCAATTTGGTTCAATCCTCCTCCTTAATATTTCCTTGAACACACTCTCCATAGCTCCAATCCTATTTTCCTTAACCAAAGCATTCAGCAAGGGATTACACGACAAAATTGACAACCTAAACCCGTAATCGCCAGCTCGTTCAAATGCCTCAAGAGCGAAATCAGGCTTCAAATTCTTCACATAAGCCAGGACTAACATATCAGCTATAATCATTGAATTCGAGAGAAACCCATCACTTGAAATCGAAATTGCATGAAAAATCGACGAAACTGAGTCTCTTTTCCTCTTAACAAAATCATCCAGCTGAGACCTAACTTTGCTATAACTCTTTTCAGATGCCAAYAAATGCAAGAGCCTGCAAAAGAAGTCAAGACTGTAGGAGACCCCAAATTCTCTCTCTGACCACCGAAAGTACCCAAGAACAGTTTCTCCATCGGCATTGGATTTGAACAGAAATTGCAGACAMCTTTCAGGGCATGTTTCTCTAACTATACTACTTAGGTGACGCCAGTGTTGTTTGCTTATGAGGTCAGAGAGCCTGGATATATTAACATTCAACCCTTCCTTGTTCGAAATGAAGCTTTTGAGAGTAGGATCGAGTCCTAATGGGCTAGTTGATGCATCAATGGTGGAAACTAGGGTTCTTTTGAAAAGATTGGCTTGAAGGTGTAAAGATCGAAAACGAGATGGAATATTCATGTTTTTGTTGTTTCTAATCGCTATTCTGAAGAAGAATATTGAATAATTAATAGACAATCTCAATCCGCTCTTCTCCAACCGCTGATCTCAAAATATTCATCGTGTTCGAGAGTGAACCCCTTACGATCACAATTCACAAGCAGATCATAAGCGGKTAAGCCCAACCTTCCTTCACCGGCGTAGCTGCAATTGTTAGAATACTTAAACCAGCGTCGATCAAGATCCACGACGTGTTTGATACAGTCGTTTTGTTGAGTTGAGATCTCCTTGCGAGTTGTAGAAGCACTCTAGACTCAGTTGGTAGGTTCTCTGACTCGTCGAAGTAGAGACCTGGGATCAAATCCCGCTGCCACCAGGGGTTTGGGGGGTTAAGGGAAAGGGGATGGGTTACCCCTGTTGTGTAACCCCATGAAGCAAAAAAAAGATAAGCTCTCTAGAGAAAGCGTCCGGCCTCAATGCACATCTCAGCTTGTATTGGAACTTTGGAAGGTTGGAAATTATTCCCATCTACATTTATATATTAGCGGGGACCGTTGTGATGTATAGGTTTTGTTAAGCTAAAACTAAACAATAAAATTATGATTAGTATTATAAATGGGCTCCCGTAAGGTGTTATTTACCAAAATTTATGGGTGGATTTTGATTGGTCAAAACTCTTTCAGTACCATATCATTTTTCTAATATTGTTTTTTTTTTTTATATTTTATATATTGCTTTTAATAGTTTTTTTATAATATAAAAATAATATAATTAAATTTAGTTTGAGTTGTTCATCAAGTTAATGAAACTGACCAACTTGACCTGGTTCATTTTCTAGTATTTTTAGTTGATTTTGGTTCAACAATTTTCCAACCTGACTAAGTTAGATCAGTTTCGTTTTGGCCATTTGTAAATCAACCAAAATCGAATGACCCGACCATAGATATATATTACTATTTTATGTTTTGAATATAAGTTTTTAATATAGGAAAGCGAGAAAATTTTCATTTTTCTTATATGATACAACCAAATCGAAAATCTTTTGAACTGCAATTTTTTAATAATACCACTGCAATTTTTTTAAATTTAAATTTAATTTTAAGTTTAAATCTTTTGAAYTGACTAACCAAATTGAAAATCAACACAAACTGATACAACCCGAGTTGGTYGGTTTTCACTAATGGTTAGTCGGTTTCAGGTGACCAACTCCCTAACTTGACCAGKTTGATTTGATTGGACAAACAACCTGCAACCAAACCAAACTAACCCATAARCACTCATAATTTCARCTAAAGTAATAGTCTAATCTCTAATAAATAACAATATTTTAATCTCTAATAATTAGTGAAAATTTATAACAAAAATACACAATTATTAAAAATATATT